CCGTCTCAACCCACTGAAGAAACGGGTGGTGAAAGAGGAGGTAGATTACATGCTGAAACACCATCTGATAGCCCCGAGCTCGAGCCCATGGTCATCCCCGATACTACTAGTGCCCAAACCTGGTATGAAATACCGTCTTTTTATTGATTATCGCCAGGTGAATAAGGTCACTGTAGCAGATACCTACCCTCTCCCCAGAGTAGAAGAATGTCTGGATGCCATAGGTAGAGCCCGGTACCTGACAAAATTTGACCTGTTCAAAGGCTATTGGCAAGTTCCCCTCACGGAAAAAGCCAAACCCATATCAGCATTTGTGACTCCCGACGGGCTGTTTGAATGTCAGGTGATGCCATTCGGGATGAAAAACGCAGCCTCCACTTTCCAGAGACTGATGGGTACGGTGTTGCGTGACGTGGAAAACACCTTAGTCTACATCGATGATGTATTAATATATGATGTAGATTGGCAGGATCATCTGCGTCACATAGAGGATTTCTTCAAGGCCATGCTCCAGTCAGGATTGGTGGTCAACCTGCATAAATCTGAGTTTGCCAGAACCTCTGTCATCTTCCTAGGTCATAAGGTTGGAGGAGGATGGATTGCGCCGAAGGCCAGCAAGATCGAGGCAATAGTCCAGTATCCTACGCCAGCTACCAGGAAGGACATCTTGCGTTTCCTTGGTATGGCTGGGTTTTATCGTAAGTTTGTCCCTAATTTTTCCTCCATCGCCGCCCCCTTGACCAATCTGCTGAAGAAAGGGGTAAAGTTAATATGGAATGAGAATTGCCAGAAGGCATTAGAGAGTCTCAAAGCAATTCTGATCTCTGCTCCAATCCTCAGGTCCCCGAGCTTTGAGGACAGATTCATCCTGACGGTCGACGCCTCTGACTATGGCCTGGGCTCCGTTTTATCCCAGACGGACGAGAAGGGGGTGGAACATCCGGTGGCCTATCATTCTAAGAAGTTCACCCCCAGCCAGCTGAATTACTCGGTCATAGAAAAGGAAACGTTGGCCTTAATTAATTCCGTCCAGCACTTCGAGGTATATTTAACAAGCAATGGCCATCCTATATTAGTACGGACCGACCATAACCCTCTGAAGTTCCTGGCTCAATTTAAGCAAAAGAACCTCAGGCTCACCAGATGGAGTCTACATTTGCAGCAATATCCCCTCCAGATTGAACACATCAAAGGGGTGGACAACGTGGTAGCTGATGCATTATCTCGCATCTAAATCCACGTACTAATTTGGTTTGTCTTCTCTTTTTATAGGAACCCAAACCAAATTCTTTTGGTGGGGAGGTGTTACGGACCCTGATCCAGCGTCCAATCTCTAAACAGTGACGGCCGCGCCATCTGTGGGTCAGCTCCCGAAACCCCCTCCAAACCGACGACGTGTACTAGCTACGAGGGCCAGTTTCCAGCCCCGTTCAGCGCCCAACACCGCCGCCGCTGACCTCTGGTGAGGTGGTGCTCAGACTACAACGCCATCTATGGAGTGGATATGTCCGGCGTTTGTGTCTGAGCCTGTAAGTATGGTGTTTTAGTGTCCCTGTTATTGATGACGTGTCTGCTTACAGAGCCGACCTGGGACCACTGTGATGGAAGTGGAGTCAGTCTACCTGAGGCAGCCAGTCTCCATACTGTGAAGTTTGCTGCAGCTGTCGTGACGTCGTCCCCCCGGAAGAACACTGTGGTGTGTTAAGCCTGCCAGTGGAGTGGCAGTGGAAGGATTTACCCGGGACCGACGGTTGGAGACGATAATCCACTGGGGTATTGAGGACAGGAGGGTGATTGGTGATATCACACGAGACTCCTGTCTAGGGCGTACCCCTTTTATCGTTCGTGGAGTGGCCGTGCCAGCCTTGGTGGCTCAGTACCTGCCAGCAGACCTGCTGGACGTGTGGTTGACGGCCTCCACGACGGTGCCCCCAGTGGACCTGTGTTGTGGCTGACCTGTGGCCAGGGTAGACTCGGCGTTCTCAGAGGACACGTCTTGAGGCCACGAAGAAAGCACCGCGGACTCAGCACCTAGCTTCAAGGATCCATAGTCTCCAGCAGAAGACTACAGTGTTGATCCCCTTGTAAAGTGTTAATACCCCTCCCCTTGTGTACGTTTTACTTTTATATATTTAAATGGTGATGGTTATATTATATTATATTAAGTTCTTACCTTTCTTTCCCTACTCCCTTTAAGTTACTTGCGTCACGGATCGCATCCCTTGATAGCCTCTACTGGCTTGGGGCCGGATATATATCTTCCTCTAACTACATCAGAGTAAGAACCCCGTTGCGTCCCGAGAGGGCCGTAACACCAGGGCTGGGGTGGGGCTGACATGGGGAGCCTCAGGCCCCATTGGACCCTACTGGGGTTTTTCTACCTTCTGGGCGGGGCTTGTGGTTACGCAGAGTGGGGTTTTTCCTTCCCCACTCTCCGCACGAGTTGTTGGGCGTCAGCCCCTTCCCGGGCTCGGTTCCTTGTCCATTAAGCCCATTGATTCCGTCCTGTCGGTGGGTGGTGTTCTCCATTCTTCGCCTCTTTTTTTTTTTTTTTTTTTTTTTTTTTTTTTTTTTTCTCTCTCTCTCTCTCTCTCTCTCTCTCTCTCTCTCTCTCTCTCTCTCTCCTTAGGACGGGACTTCTTCATCATGTTCCCCTCTTCTTGGGGGTTCTGCATGACTTTTGGTCTCGGGTGCGACTGGGCTTTTCTGTGCCTTCATCATTTGTGCTTGCTTCTATGTGTTCTCGAAGGTTGTGTTGTGTCCTGTGTTGGTCCTGTCCCTTCGTTCCCGTTTGCTGCCTGCCTTCTTCATTCCTCAGCTTCTTTTTGTCCTCCACGTTGTGTGTTTGTGCCTTTTGGCTCCTATATCCAGGTTTAGATTCTGGTTCCTGGCTTTCCCGTCCTGTTGGCATTTTCAGTCTCTTGCTGTGTCCCTTCTCTGGAGTCTGTCGGGGTCTTGGTCTCCACCCTCCTGGCGGCTCGCTGGCATTGGGATGTTTTTCGGTACGGCAGACGTTCCATCTCCTTCTTTTGCCGGCTCGAATTTCCGGCTCTGCCTGCTCGGTGGTCGCACCCGAGGTCTTTTTTTTTTTTTTTTTTTTTTTTTGAGATATATACAAGAGTTGTTACATTCTTGTACAGCCACTAGTACGCGTAGCGTTTCGGGCAAGTCCTTAATCCTATGGTCCCTGGAATACGATCCCCTGCCGCGAAGAATCGTTTTTTCATCCAAGTACACATTTTACTGTTGCGTTAAACAGAGGCTACAGTTAAGGAATTGCGCCCAGTAAATCCTCCCCGGCCAGGATACGAACCCATGACATAGCGCTCGCGGAACGCCAGGCGAGTGTCTTACCACTACACCACGGAGACTGTCTTCCCGTGGCTCCGTGTCTTCCTCAGCTTGTTCAGCTCTGCCTTGAGTCTAGCCTTCTATATGGTGGTCGGGCGGCTTCGTTGCTGGTGTCCCGCCTGCGTGCTTCTTCTTGGCTGCAGTGTGGGGTATTTTGGCGGTCCTTCCTTTTTCCTTCTGTCTCTTCTTAAGTGGCAATGTTTTGTTGGCGAGGTCTTGTCCTTCTCATATGTGGGTTCGGGGCCATCATTTTGCCACATACTGTCGCCTCGTTTCGTGCAACGCTGGCGGAGCCGCTTCTGCTTGCGTTCGGTGTTGATGTTACTTATACGCTGTTCCGCACGCTGTCTCGTGTGTTGGTTCACCTTCGGAGTGCTCGTGTGCCTTTTGAGCTGTCCTGGTCGTAGGACTGGGTGCTCTCTCATTTCTTCTCTTCGGTTCTTGTGGCTCCATCGGTTCTGGTTTCTCAGGGGCTCTCTTCCTGTTGGAGTTGGCCTCAGGGGGTCGGGTTGGTGAGCTTTATGCTCTCCTCCGGTACTGGGGTTTCTGCTCCTTTGGTCGGGGCGATTGTTTTGTTCCTCTGTGGCCTTCTTCTTTTCTGGCATAGAATGTGCTGCTTTCCGGAGGGGTCCCTGGGTTGTTGATGCCTTGCTGGTTTGGCTAGGGGGTGCTTCATGTTTTGTGCCCGGTTGCAGCTCTCTGCCATTTTTGGCGCGCCACGGCTTCTGTGTCCATGGGCGTGCTTAGGGTTGATCCGGTTTCCCTTCCCTGTTCGCAGGTGTGGGTTTCCCGGGTCATCCGCTGGGTTATTACGGCTGGCCAGCCTGCGGTCTCTCCCCGTGCCCATAACGTTCGCAAGTTCGAGGGCTTTTGCTGCCGTTCCTTGGGACTGTGTCTTGGGCGGGCATTCGGGCATGGGGATTTTGGCGGTCAAACAGGGTCGTGGCTGCTCGTTGCCTTGTTCACGTCCTTAGGCCCGGTTGGGTTGTGCAGTTTGTTCATTTTCTGTTGGGGAGTTCTATCCACTAGTTCGGCTTTTGGTAGCAATTTTAACCAGAATAGGGGTTTGTTTTGGGACGCTTACCTTTCTGGATGCTTGACCTGGTCGATGGCAGACATAGAATGCTTCCAACCACACGGGGCTTTCTATAAGCCATTGCTTCCCTTGCCTTTCTGAGGGGGCCAGATTCTGGCCGTGGTTCTCGGTAGGCCCTAAGAACTCCAAACAATTGACTGATGCCAAAGTCTGACATTAGCATATCAGCCTGGTATAGCTCCGGGGAGCCTCCGGGTCTCACCAAGAAAATGGCGTTTCATTGCATTCAACACTGGTTTCTTTTAGTTTTCCTTAATCAGAGACTGCATTTTAACAATATAAGAAGATAAAATAATTTTTTGCAAAGAATTTATTTTCAGCACATTATGGGAATGTCACAGTACTGTACTGTATTTTTAGGCCATGCAGCACGGTGGTTAAGGACTTGCTCGAAATGCTATGCGTGCTAGTGGCTTTACAAAATGTAAGAACTCTTGTATATATAAATAAAAACAACTGCACTGATTAAGGGTTAGTATGTAGTGGGTATCTGATTTCAAATTCAAATTCTGAGTCAAATCCTTAATTAAATCTTATTTTACTATTTCTCTAGGAAATTGTCTGATGGACTCTTTCTGGAGACATGTCGCAATGTAGCAAGAGAATATTCTGAAATAGAATTCAGTGACATGATAGTTGACAACACTTGCATGCAGCTGGTGGCCCGACCCCAACAGTTTGATGTTATGGTGATGCCCAATCTCTATGGCAATGTGGTGTCAAATGTTGTTTGTGGACTTGTGGGTGGACCCGGATTACTGTCTGGACGCAATTATGGTGAACATGTGAGTATTATATGAAATTTCTGTGGGGAGATTACAGCTCCCTGGAGCTATCAGGCTGATATGTTATGTTAGTCTGGGGCATCAGTCAGTCGAAGTTCAGCCTACTGGGAACCACGAGCCAGAACCTGCCCCTCCATCCCCCCGAGAGAGGCAAAGGGAGCAATGGTATATAGAAACCCCCCATGTAGTTGTGGGCATTTGATGTCTGCCATCAACTTGGGTTTGCACCCAGAAAGGTAGGCATAATAAAACAAACCCCACCCCACATGGTAAAAAACTAAAACAAAAAACCAAACAGAGAGGTGGAAACTCCCTACAATCCCAAGGAAACAAGCAAACATCACACTTTACTGCCGCGCCGATCGTCCGCGCAGCCCTCCCCGCCCCGAGAGGGGGAGGGGGGCAGCCCCGGACCTACCGCGCCGGCTGCCTAGCATCAGTTTGTGAACTAATGTCAAGCGGGATAGACGCTTCTCTGGCCTCTGTTTCCTAGGCGGTGTTTGCCTTGTGTGGCGTTCACTGCCGTGTGTTGTGCGGTGGCCAGGAGTACCTCATCAGTGCCAGGGCTGCATGCGCTTAGTGGCTGACTTCCCTAAGCACCCTGTGAGTACTGCCCTTGCATAACAGGGTTATCTTCCCTGGGGCGTTCGGGAACCATTCCCGTAGAGGTTCTCATTCCCAAGGCCGCTGGTAAGACCCAGACGCCTTGGTAGAAGGAACAGGCTTGAAAACCTCCGTCCCCAACCCGAACGGGGCAGCCCCCGAAAATCGCCCGAGTCTCGGCCCCAACTAAACCCCGCCCCGACCCCGAAACCTGCAGATGGTCCGGAGCCGGGAATAGGGAGGGAAAGGGGCTCATAGCACCTAACCAAAACAGGGTGGCCTCGGGGCATCTGAGTGGAAAACCAACCTAGCGTGTTGCAGCAACCTAACCTAGCTTGCAACACGGATACCGCGTGTATTCTGAACAGTAATACTGTAACATCAGGAGAGTACTGGAGAACAAGCAGAGAATCTCTCTCGCAAGACTCCGGGTCAAGGTGTCAGTGACCCAACAGGCAACATGACGGAGGTAAAAGTGGCGACTGTCACCCGGAGACAAGGGCATAGCAACCAACGATCCCGTACAAGACGGGTTGGGACCCGGAAGACACACACAATGGTCCACCGAGCCCCGACAGGGGTTTCCAGGGCCCGTAGGGGTAACAACTACGGGAAGCATGGGCAAGGTGTTGCTAACCGGTTAAACACCCAAAATTAACAATAGGTAGAGTATAACACTGAAAACCCCTGCGACGTGTACAGTCACGGGGGCCTAGCAGAGAGCCACCAAACACTACCAGTGGAACTATAGCCACACTAGGCAGACCCCCACCAGGCAAATGAAAATAAAAACAAAAGAAAAACCCGCAAAAGTACACCGTCTCCAGAGGCAACAGGAACCGGTCGCCGCTTAGGTGGCAGGTTGCGCAACACCTTGACGCCCTAACCAGCACAATACCAGTCCCTACCCAGGGCCAAACAAGCCACCAAGTTTATTTTCTCAAGGCACTGGTTTAGGTTTGCATTTTCTAGTTGTTCTTCCCAACTTATATCTGTGGGGTCTCGTTTTATCTGTTCCCAGTTAATCTGTTTATTATTAAAATTAAATTTGCTGAATTCTCCTCTAGAATTTGGGTCTAGTTGCGCAGGTCTAGAGCCTGTGCTTGTCTGAGCTTCAATATACAGTACTTGAGTATTATTTAAAAGTTTACACATTTGTTTAACATCTTGTAACATTTTTCAGTTTGCAGTGTTTGAACCAGGAACACGCAATACTGGAGCATCAGTAGCAGGCCGCAATATAGCTAATCCAGTAGCAATGTTAAATGCTGCTTGCGATATGTTGGAACACCTGGAGCTGGAGGAACATGCTTACCTAATTCGGGATGCTGTTGACAAAACAGTTAATGAGGACATGATCCATACTGCTGGTTAGTAGCTGTTTATATGGTTTGTTCCTATACCCATCAGTTTGTTTCTTAATGTTCATCCTATATTCAGAATAGTCACAATTATAAGAATTCATCAATAATTTTCGAATAGTTGAATGCTTGCAGAAGATTACAAATATTTCTGGGGGGAGCCCCGTCGGCTCCCTGGCGCTATCCAGGCTGATATGCTAATGTCAGACTTTGGCATCAGCCATGTGTGTGGAGTTCTGTGGGCCTACTGGAGACCACGAGCCAGAATCTGGCCCCCTCACAGAGGCACGAGGAGCACTGGCCTGTATGTCCTCGTGCCAACCACACATTCCCCGTGTGGTTGGAAGCATTCTTATGTCTGCCATCGACCGGGTTAGGCACCCAGAAAGGTAGGCATCCCAAAACAAATTGGGACAAACCTCTATTCTGGTGAAAATTGCTACAAAAGCCGAACAAGTGGATAGAACTTCCCAAACAGAAACGAGCAAGACTTCACACGTTGCCATGCCGCCGTCTGAGCAGCTCTCCCCTCCCCGGGAGGGGAAAGGGGGAGCCCCTGACCCTCTCGCCGACCATCCACACCCTGAGTTCTGAGCTGTTCAACACCCTCCCAGCAAGCATTAGAAATCTTGTGTTTTGTACCATCAGCAAAGGTGGATGTATTCAAGAGGTATTTAGATAAGTTCTTGCAGGACGTGCCGGACCAACCAGGCTGTAGTGGATATGTGGGCCTGCGGGCCGCTCCAAGCAACAGCCTGTTAAACCAAATTATGACAAAGTCGAGCCTTACCATATCGAACCACTAAGTTGGTATTGTGAGTGAAAATGCAACGAGGAGTGACCGCCACACATCAGCCAGCCACTCACTGCCACTCCCTCCCTCCTATTGCTGTTATTACAGTCTGTTCACACGTTATACATAAGTACTGTATCTACATTTGTGTTCAATATAGTGAACCACTAAGCTGGTGTGGTAAGTCCAGTCAATAAAAGGTGGCCACACACAAGTCAAAAGACGATGCCCTCCCTCAACATTACTCCTCCCACCATGGAGCACAGTGCTAAATGTCACCACAATCCTGCTATTATCAGAATCCTTGTCAGTTTTATCACAGTGTCTTCTGTAATACTGTCATAGCTAAATAATAGCATGAACATGTATATTTTGACATTTTTAGGCAATGCTGTGGTCACAAGCTGAACAGCGGTGCTGTGAGCTCATGCTGCGTGTGTCAGCCTTGGTGGCTCGCTCAATAATGAAGCTCTCACACCCAGGAATGTTGGCCAGGATTTTTTTTCTAGGTGGCGTTTGTCAACTATCGGTCATGGCTGCACTATAGCTGCCTCTATCCCATGCGGGGTGTTTAAATTAAGGCGCTAGACACTAAAACAGCTACAGGCATACCTCAGAATAAGAGTTTAATCCGTTCCTGGAGACGCCTCGCCTTCCGAAAACTCGCATTCCGAAGTTAATTTCCCCATAAGAAATAAAGGGAAATGAATTAATCCGTTCCTGACTACCCCAAAAACCCCACATCAAACTAAATTTTTATACCTAATTTACCTAATTCATCTAAATAAACCTACAAAACTGTGTTCCAGTTATTACTTACCTTGCTGTCGAGTGCTGTAGGCGTATGGAAGATGGTGAGGAGGGGGGAGGAGGAGAGGAGTTACTGTTTGGAAGGGGAGTCCCCTTCCATAATCACATCACATAACCCCATGCCTTGTAACACTATGGATACCACTTCTCTTTCTAAATTTTTCAAACCAGCCCCTGCTTGCCTTAAACTTTCTTATCTGCATCACTCGTTGCAGGGGTATTCTTTAGAAGGTCTTCGTGCAACACCCTGGCTTTCTCACAAATAATGGCCTCCGAAACACTATCACCCCTCAACTCCTTGTCGTGTATCCAAATTAATAACAACTTTTCCACTTCTTCAAGTATTTGTGGTCTTTGTGCCGTTAATGTTCTTACTCCTTTTGCCACTTTAGCACCCATAATCTTATTTTTCTTCTTAAGTATAGTGCATATTGTTGATGTGGCTTTGTTGTACTGCCTACAAAGTTCAACAACACGTGTACCATTCTCATGCTTCCGAATGATCTCTTGTTTCTCCTCTATTGTCATCCTCACAGGAGCTTTCTGGCCTTTATCCTTACCACTGGCTTTCTTGGGACCCATGGTGAGATATATAATAACAAATTGTATAGACAAATCACCAAAAATCCAACAAAACACTGAAAATCCGCGAGAAGAATTGATGTGGGGGTAGTCACTGAGCGCCAGACAATAATAAACTGAGGGGCGGAGGGGCGACGAACGCGCTAGGTCGGCTGTACGCGTATCAACAAACTCGCGTCCAAACTCGCCTCCCGAAGTAACCCTTGCCTTCTGAGACAAATTTTTGGAGTAAATACACCTCGCCTTCCGAAAACCTCGCATACAGGGACAATCGCATTCCGAGGTACCACTGTATTAATATATTGTGCGGTCTAAGGGTGTCTCTCCAGATCAAGTCTGAAAATTAAGGTTCCTCTTGAATGATGTTTTTTTCACAAACTTTTCTAGAATGCTGTAGATCACTACATGCAGACGATTCAACAGCTATTTTAACTACTGGCATGTATTGGACGTGTACTTGTAAAATTAGAGTTCACATGTGCATGTCAGTATCAGCTAGTAAAGAGCAGTTGTAAGCTATTAAAACATGTGTCTTTTGACAGATCTGGGTGGACAAGCAACTAGTTTGGATGTTGTTCAAAACATCATTCGGGTAATCCAAGCCAACACTAAGGAAAAAAAGTGGTAACTAATTTCCTCATTTCCTTCTTTACTATGCAAGCTTGTAAGTGCTTTTCCTTAGTTTTTTATTTATTCATTTTTGTATACTGGCTTTTGTTAATTATCACTCAAAATGTAAATACATGAGGTAAAATTTTACAGTTTTCATTAGTTTTCTAGAGCCTTCACTGGGTCTTAAGTAGCAGAAACAAACTTCCCTTTTGTTGTACCGTACTTACCACATTAAAATAGGACTACTCTCACCTGTCCACCAGTCAACCTATAACAAATATCAAGTTTCTTTTTAATGACTTTGGGAAAGTTTGGCAGATTAAACCAGTGATGTGCAGCTTCTTGCTAATATCAGTGTTGAGCTCAGCAGTGAAGCCAATAAATATTGGATAATGACAGGGGATAACTGTGTATTATGGAATTACAGTACCTTTAACTAAATATTAAATATTTATATTTTATAAAACAAAAGCATTCAAATATTATTTTTCACCATTTGTTTTCAACTATTTGCTCATTTTAATAATGTTGACTGTATTGTCACTGTCATGCATGTAGCTAGATTCCTGTACATAAAATGTGTTAGTAGACTAAATTTATTAAAGATTTGTTAAAAAGTTAAGTGTATTTTATTTACTTCTAATATTGGTTTTGTGATTTTTTTTATTATGTCATCAAAAGGAAAAATTCAATTTTTTATTTTTTTTATGAAAACAAATTCTTTGTTCTCAAAAAGAAAACAAAGGAATGTTGGTAGGATTTCTTATTTTAACCGAACAAAAATTTTCTTATTTTTATATTCTGCAGTGATGTTGGGGCTGTAGACCTTTTTCTCTATATGTGCAGTTTGTTTATTTTTCAAATTTAGTTTTCCTTAAAATTGGGTGATCTACAACTTTGAATCAAATTCATCAGGTATGTCATCACATATGATACAATCAGTGCAGGGTTTCCATAACATCTTCATATACAGTACAATAGTACTGTACTTCAATAAAATATATAAAATAGATTACATGTACAGAATTTTATATAAAACAAGAATACATTAGAACAACATTTTGTAAAAAGGGTTTAGGGTTATGTCAAGTAACATAAAATTATACTACTGTATTTAAAAAGATATGGCTCCGTTGTTTTAACAATCTTCAACTATAAATGCTTGTGTCGACAATCTCTGTAAAGCAACTGGTGGTAAAGTACACGTTTGCAGACTTAATCTCATATCAGTCTGGATAAATGCGAGCGTGTGTTTGTAGTGTATGAATATAAATGCAATACAGAAAACATGTTTAAACAGGTATGTATACATGAATGTTTGTATTTGTAAAATATATATATTAGTGTTCTTGCTTTTTGCACATGGCCAAAAAAAAGGTTAGATTATTAATTCTAGCACAAATCTTTTCTATTGCTTACTGTCATTTACACTTGAGAAGAAAGTTGACTAGATCCTCAGGATGAGGGGTCCCATCTCTCATCACACCTGTGATATATATATATATATATATAAATATATATATATAAATATATATATATAAATATATATATATAAATATATATATATAAATATATATATATAAATATATATACATATATATATATATATATATTATAATAAAGTAACTGTCCTATTGTATTCACTTTTCTTTGGCTTCTGAGGATACCGAGATATACTTGGTGAAGTACAACACTCATTGAAAGTGCAAATTAACTTTGGTGTGTCCATTTCTCTGCCTTCTTCCCAAATGAAGAAAACCCAAGAAATATATAGATTTGTACTAGATTCGTTGATCTAACGCTTTTGGTTATATTTATTAAAATACACTCGGTACATACTGTATATATTGTACCAAACAGCCAAAGTGGCCTATCAAGTAAGATTTTTTTAAACATTTATTTTTTCAAAGATTTATTATTGCAGATTGATATGTATAATTTAAGTAACAAGGTGCATTTATATTTAATTTGAACTAAACCTAGCTTAGCTTCCTAAGAATTTTCACACATTCACTCTGTCTTAATGGCATATTATATAATCTCATTCTCTTCCCAAGAGTTTTGTATTAATTCATAATGTAGAAACAGGTTGGATGACACAGTGTTTAATAGTCCCTTGCCATCCCATGGTCCTGGCTCGGCATCCATCGCTGGATCATCTTCACTTGTTACCTTCCACCACAGTTCATGTTGTGTGTTGTCTAGTGCTAAGAGGAAAAACATCATATTATTTGTCTGTTAGAAATAGTGTGCAATTTGATATGCAGTACAGTAGTTAAAAGTCCCTTTAAACATATTAGGCAGGAATGACAATCTTAAGTCTTAATTAAATTTGGATGAATCTGAGAAGTGGAGAAAAAATCATAAACAAGTAAGCAAAAATTATAATACATATCAAGAGTTAAAAGAAAAGGAAAAATCAAGGCCAGAATGGCAGTCAAAGACACAAAGTGGTACAATTATAATAAATGATTCAAAAGTCATGAGAATGCATTACACACTCCAAGATCTGAACTTCCATATAATGTTTTCCTTTAAATAATGGATCAAATCTGCCCACCAGATTTCTCCTCCAAAATTCAAATTTCTTGGCAAAAAAAAACTGATTACGGGTGGGAATACATAGAAATCTGGATTATATTTTATAATCTTGCTCTTTTTTATTCAGACCTATTATAATGGCACACATACTAACCATACGTTTTCTTTCTGTGTGAGCTCGATCTGTCATCTCGTTACTCAAGCATTTTCACTGGTATTACTTTGGATAGAAAATATAGTTATTTGCAAGTTGAAGTCTTAACTCTTTTGAAGAAAGCGTTAGACTTTAACTTTACAGACATTTTCATGGAGACATCAATGAAAGCGTTGTCTCCATGCCACTTTGTTCAAGAGTGGCATGGAGACATCAGGCAATGTACGACGAATTACTTTAAAATGGATAGGAAGGTCAAGTTATTAAGGAAACGTTATCTTGGCTAGAAAGATATCTTGGCGGGTTACAATGGATTATGGCAGTGGTACTGATATTGTTTCTGGCATAAAAATGCAAAGGAAGAAAATGGAGTTAGTGAATAAAAGGAAGAGCAGTGGTGATAAGAGTAGCAGCAAACATATTAAGAACATAATAATGAAGGTACAGTAACTGCAGAAGGCGTGTTGGCCTTCTCCAATAGGAAACCTTTTAAGAAAGATGATTTGGGTGCTGCTGTTTACCTTTGGTTTACACATCATTGTAGCATGAGACTGACAGTTTGTGGTGTGCAGTCTGTTGCTGAATGACACAAACCTTAGGCATTGAGCACTTCCAGACCAATTTAAGATGACTACAGAGGTTTAACAGGCAGCATGACATAGCACTACAGCTGTACTTTATAACCACATTTTGCTGCATCTGGGTTAACAAGGCCAGCCTGTCTTTTATTAAGGTATGTTAAAACATTTGTTTAATAATTTGTTTGCAGTTTTATTATTTATAGGCACAGAAAATCATTGCTTATATATTCTTCTTCTTCGCAATACGTGCAGTTTGCATGAAGGTTTTTCCTCATGATGACTGCACGAGTGTTGAAGTTGAAAGATGCGGCACTCACAGTGGCACATCAATGTTCATAATTTGGCAGAGTTACATATTAGCTATCTCTCAATATACAAAGACAAATTGTGTTATTTACTTTTAAGAAAAACGAATATGTAGTGTGGCAAGCAAGTGTAATGCATTGGGAGCAACAGTGATAGAAGCCATCTCTATCCAGTTTTAAAACAGTACAATAAAGTATAGGGTACTAGAATGTTGGGTTATATACAACATATATTTGCAAGGTACTTAAAAGCAAGGCTGAAGAGCCAGGTCTTGCTCCTCATAGACATTTATAGATATGGTACCACAATAACACAGGCCCATGAATTCCACTTTTCTTACCCTTCCAACCCACCCTCACATGCTACCATCCTAATCACCTACACTTCATAATTCATCCTTGCCTATACACTTGCCTACCAGCATACCCCTACCCCTCTTCCATCTATTTAAACACCTGTCCCACTTCATATAGCATTCATTCACACCATCCACCCATATCCACCCACTTTCATCTTCATCTATGCATACTTTTACTTTAACAGACACTCATCCACCCACGGGGGAGTCATGATCACTACCTACAAAATTCTAAGAGGAATCGACAGGGTAGATAAAAACAAATTGTTCAACACGAGAGGTTATGGGGCATTCATGCCCGTGCCACCTCCTGGTTGGCTTAATCTTAATCAATTAATCAACACAAGAGAGTATGCAAACAAGGGGAGACAGGTGGAAACTGAGTACCCAAATGAGCCACAGGGACATTAGAAAGAACTTTTTCAGTGTCAGTAGTTAACAAATGGAATGCGTTAGGTAGGCAGGTATGTGGTGGAGGCTGACTCCATACACAGTTTCAAATGTAGATATGATAGAGCCCAATAGGCTCAAGAATCTGTACACCAGTTGATTGACAGTTGAGAGGCGGGACCAAAGAGCCAAAGCTCAACCCCCGCAAGCACAATTAGGCAAGTACACACCCAGGAAGCAGCCCGTAACAGCTAACTCCCAGGTACCTAATTACTCCTAGGTAACAGGGGCATCAGGGTGAAGGAAACTTTGCCCGTTTGTTTTCCCTCTCGACCAAAGGATCAACATTCTGTCCTGTTCGATCACGATGACAGGACAGGAGAGTGTTTTTCAATGTTACCTTTCACCTGATGCCTCTGTTCATCTAGGAATAAATAGGTACTTGGGAGTTTTACAGCTTTTCTGGGTTACATATATATATACACATACATTATTCACGCACGTGCGTATGGGGGGCGGGGAATATATGGACGAGGTAAAATAAAGCGTTGTGCGTACTTGCATGATGCGTTGTCTTGTATGGTGCAAAAATGTGCTCTTCGTCCAGTACCCAATTACTTAGGTCTTGGTTATCTTCATAATCACTGCTGGTGTTGTGTAACCCGGCGAGTTTGATATACAGTTGTTGGCCCCAGGTACTGTCAGTGGGAGGCCCGTCATCACCTCCCACCTGATCATACGCCACGTTTATGACGGTCCAAAAGATAAGGGAAATTCTTTGGCACTTGGATGTGAGCATATTACCACCTGGAAATGGCCATAAAGTTGTTTAGTTCCGAATAAAATATTAATTTACTATGTAAATCAAATTTTTCTATTACAACTAAAGAATTAAGGCTAAATATATTTCGGTACATATTAAGAATCAATTCTAGCAGAAACGGGAACAGCACGGTAAGGATACAGTATTGTAGAGGAAGGTGCTATAGAGATTAATTGAAAAATACAGAAAATATACAACAAAAATACCTGTATTGTACATTACATTAAGGTAAATCAAATACATTTGATTTAGGGGCCTGACGGCTGAGTGGACAGCGCTCGGGATTCGTAGTCCTAAGGTTCCGGGTTTGATCCCCGGCGGAGGCGGAAACAAATGGGCAGTTTCTTTCACCCTGGTGCACCTGTTCACCTAGCAGTAAATAGGTACCCGGGAGTTAGGCAACTATTGTGGAGTTTCATCCTGGGGAAGATCAGTATACTTCCACCTTAGGGATACCTCACTACAAGCCTAAAGTGTGCGTGTATTATATATTATATATATATAATGTGTGTTTGGGTGTGTGAGAAAATTAACTCTGATCTCTTAGCCATGACTAGGGTCGTTCTAAGGCTGGTAAGTTGGTTTCTATTCTTAGATTCTCTCGGTTTATCATGCTTTTGCAAAGGCTTATATTTGCTTGTGGTGAGATGGTACAGGGCATGATTGAGATGAACAAGTGGCTGAAACATAAAAGATATTATTAGACTATTACATGCTTGAACATAAGTAGCTTATGTTCTTGCTTCTACTGTCTCTCTGTTGGTTCGGGGTCTTGACGTGGGTAGAGTTTGATTATGTGTTAACTGGTTATTGATTGTTGGTCTTAATTTGTTGATGTGTAGGGCCTCGCTGATGTCCAGTCTTCTGTTATACCTGTCGATTATTTCAGTGTTGCTTGTTAAGATGTCTCTTAAGAGCAGTCTTAATTAGAGCAGTAGATTAAATACATATACATATAAATAATCTTTTATATCGCAAATGATTCAACAAGAAGCTCACAAGAGTCTCTATACAAGGCATTTTACATCTATGGTGAGTCACGCAGTTCCTAGTCTTGCTCCACACCCACCCAACTGGGCGGCAGCTTTACCGTCATGTGCAGCATTACCTGGTTGATACCTGGTTGATGGGGTTCTGGGAGTTCTTCTACTCCCCAAGCCCGGCCCGAGGCCAGGCTCGACTTGTGAGAGTTTGGTCCACCAGGCTGTTGCTTGGAGCGGCCCGCAGGCCCACATACCCACCACAGCCCGGTTGGTCCGGCACTCCTTGGAGGAATAAATCTAGTTTCCTCTTGAAAATGTCCACGGTTGTTCCGGCAATATTTCTTATGCTTGCTGGGAGGACGTTGAACAACCGCGGACCTCTGATGTTTATACAGTGTTCTCTGATTGTGCCTATGGCACCTCTGCTCTTCATTGGTTCTATTCTACATTTTCTTCCATGTCGTTCACTCCAGTACGTTGTTATTTTACTGTGTAGATTTGGTACTTGGCCCTCCAGTATCTTCCAGGTGTATATTATTTGATATCTCTCTCGTCTTCTTTCTAGTGAGTACATTTGGAGGGCTTTGAGACGATCCCAATAATTTAGGTGCTTTATTGCATCTATGCGTGCCGTATAGATGCAATAAAGCACCTAAATTATTGGGATCGTCTCAAAGCCCTCCAAATGTACTCACTAGAAAGAAGACGAGAGAGATATCAAGATATTACCTACGGTAACTAAATTTTGGATACAGCGCTTAGCCCATATTCACTAAAATCGGTATACCCCGACCCTATACATGACGTGGATATGTATATATACGATTTGATCTATGAACTCATCGCAGATAAAATTAATTTGACAGCGTCATAGTGAAGCGCCATCTCAAATTCAGGTAGCATGCTTTATATGTCCCTGAATATTTTAGCGTCTCCCATAATGGCTGCTGGAGCCTCTAGTGGCGGCGTGGAGGCGTAAGGGGCGTGTGTGTGTGAGGGTGGTAGCTGGCCTGAGTCACCGCCTTCGTAATGTGTGTTTTGCTTCCTACCCCCTCGCGCCCGCCCGCCCGCCCGCCCGCCCCCACAGATCCCGCCCGTCGTAGCCACCCAATCTTGCGTGTCGTCCGTCCTGTCTACCCGTGTGCCCTGTCCCACATGTCTTGCACGGCCGGAGGATCCTCATCCCCCCTGTTTTGCACGCCACGCCCCGAGTACCACAAGTCCCGCGGCGCCCATCCATAAATCTGTAGTCCCGCCCAACACGCCCACCCTTACACCCTGTTGTGACTACTTATGTGTAAGACTAGTCCCTCCCATCCACAAGATTTGCCCCGCCCTTCAACACTCTCCCTCCCAACTTATACGCCTAATCCCGCCCATACTTATACATTTCCATCTGTTCACTTCCCCCGTCTTGGCCATCTACATACTTAAGCCATTCCTCCCACATTACCCAACGTATTGACCATCTTTATATATATTCCCTCCCGACCACATACATTGTCCACCGCACCCACATCCCCAGTCATGACCACATACATATAGTCCCTCCCGCCCACATTACCCGTCTTGGCCTCCCACATACCTAGTTCCCCCCTCCCCCCATGCATCTCCAGACATACCCGGCTCCCCCTCCCACCTCCTCCCAACTATACCACCCACTATAGTATCCGCTACCAGAATTTTTCGCACTGTTTCATTGTGTCCGCTTCAGGTGGTCCATTGTGGGAAGGTAATCATTGTTTGAATACGTCGTCATTAATATAAGTAATGCACTACGCTGAAATTGTGCAGTGTTCAAGGTACCACCCATTTTAGTACACGCTGTACGCGTGCATTAGCAACAACATATAGGACTGACAGTTAACTATATCGTTGCCAACGTGCCCTGGCTCTGAAATGCCCCTTGGCATAATGTAGCCTCGTACTTGCAGCGTAAACTTGGTTCATTTAGTATACTGGGAATATTTACCAGGACCGGGCCACAGCTGGGGGTAAAGCCTTTGTTGAGCGGACACGGAGGAGCGGGAGGCACACGCCCGCCTTCTTCACCCTCTACATTATCACTGGGGAGAAGTCTGGCCAAGTTAACAACCCGCACACGGCACACTCCAAGCCCCTCCCTCTCCCTTACCTCCCTCACCTTAATGCTAATTGCTATGGGAGGGAGGGGCTGTTGTTCATGGTATGACGGTGTGTCACTCACATAAGTGACATTCCCACTAAACTTGCCTTTCTGGGTAAAATTACTTTTTCTTTCCATCTATCCATCTATCCAACATTTATCCATCTATCTACTGTGTGTCTATATCTCAGTTAAATAATAGCACTAATACCCAACCGTCTAATAGCACTTGGACGGTCGGGGATTGAACGCCAACCTGCATGAAGCGAGACCGTCGTTCTACCGTCCAGCCCAAGTGGTTGGGCGAAGCTTAACGGTGTGAAATACTAAAATAGATTAGTTGCCCTTTTACTCTGGGAAAGAGGTAGTACGTGGCTTGCGAAACCTTTGAAGCGGTTGGAAGATGGTCTGTTTTATGCAGCTGCGGCCAAATTATTGATAGCAGGATTGTTTTTTAATTTTCCTGAGATTAGTGAATATTGCTGTATATTACTATAGGAGAATTTTTTTTGTTAGTATTTAGCAGTGTAGCTGGCTGGCAGTGCCAAAAGATATCGAGGGAGGGGGGTTCTGATTGTGGCACTGGCATGCTGTTCCCTTTTGAAATATATCGATCAGCCAAGACTAGTCGAGCAGCTTATGTTCATCCCGTACCCCACACAATTCCCTCTGCCAATCTGAGTGAGGCTAGCCGCAAGCGCCTGACCTCCATCTTTAGACTGCCAATCCCACCATGTGAGGCGGAAGCTCTTCCACTGAGCTATCGGGAGGCCCAATGGGAAAGATCTCGGAGGCACGAAACTGCTGCCCAACTGAGACGTTATACCTTCCCCGCCTCCCTTTTTAAGCACAGGAAATTATTGATCCACGCCTGTCATATCAATTGATATATATATATATATATATATATATATATATATATATATATATATATATATATATATATATATATATATATATATATATATATATATATATATTAGTGTTGGGTATTAGTGCTTTTCCGTCATATATATATATATATATATATAAACACTTGTGTATTATCATTATTTTCAAATAAATTTGTTCCTTATTGTCACTTATTATTAATATATATATATATATATTTTACAGGAATTAAAAATATAAAAAGAAAATGGACCTTTGGGTGCCAAATAACATGATGATACTAGTCATAAGTGGCCGACATCCCCACGTCCCCCAGGACCCGCAGGAACCATACACCTTCAAGGAGGACAGGAAGTGCTCATTACACACAGAAATCACAATAGTGTGATGCATCAAATGAACAAATCCACAAGGGCCGAACCCTCGTCATGGCCCTTGTGGATTTGTTCACAGGAAGTGAACTTTTTGCTTTCCTTATCTCTTTTTTTAACATTTCTAACCAGTTGTACGAATTCCTGTTCTAAACTAACTTCCCCATTCTTAATCCTTTTGTACCACGCTCTCTTTTTACCTATAAGGTTCTTCAGATCCTTTGTTATCCATTTTGGATCATTAGTATTCGATCTATTCAATTTATATGGTATACTACGTTCCTGGGCTTTGCTTAGAATATTTTTAAATAGGTTATATTTTGAATCCACATCGAAATCCCCTTTTCCGTCACCTGTCGCTGGGTTCACGTCTAGCCCACACCCCATACCCAAGACATTCCAATCTATTTGACCCAAAAAATTTCTTAGGCTATTGAAATCAGCTTTTCGAAAATCAGGCACTCTAACAGAATTTTCTCCTACAGATCTATTCCATTCTATGCTAAATCTGATTTCTTTATGATCACTGTTCCCTAGCTCGACTTGTAGGAGTAATGTTAACCTTCTGCCCTTTATGTGTATTCTGCATTTACAGGTTAATTTACGAATTTACATTATGTATTGGAATGGGGCATTATTATTATCTGTCACGTGTTAGACCAATATATGCTACTCTAAATGCCCTGATTCTCAAGGAAAAATATGTTAGACATTTGCCTTACTTTTACTCATAGATAATAAGTATACGGTGTTCTGCAGATCTTGATTTAGTTAGTTCCCGGCTATAAGCATATGTATTAATGTTATTAAGTTGCAGTTATAGTACTCAAAGTTGTCCATGTTACGCAGTTGTAAAATATACAAGTAATAGCCGCTTCATTAACAGGGTCTGCAGAAAATATTTACTTGTTCTACTAATAAATAAATAGGCCCCCATGCTGTTGGTGTCCTTTTCCTCCCGATCAGAAAACTGCTTGACAGTATTTATAAGTGTATCCAGCTGCTGGACACTTTACATTACCAGAAGAGTGGCAGTGTTGATGGCTTCAGGATGGTTACTGCAAGATTCATGGACTCTTAAAGATTTGTTTAAGGTCGTTTGTTGCTTTATATTCCAGGAGATATTGAAGTAATGGCTTTTCTGTGATTGATGATGCATTTTCTCTGTCGGGGTTCACCAAAATCCCAGTTGCATCTGTAACCTAGACGTAGTCTATATAACCGAACTGCTATTTCCCTGTGGATTCCTTTTGGAATATTTAACCTGCCTAACTTGGTGGCTTGAAGATACCATATTGCAGAGGGCGAACCTTCTGTAACTGTGTTGTAGATGGGCTTTGTTGAGGTGAGCGAGTTTTTAGGTGATGGTGTTTTTTATGTACTCTACGCTGGGTTGGATTCTTTTGTGGATCACTGGATGACGAGTTGCCAATTTAGCAGTTTAGGGTGATGATGAGTCTTTTGCCTTTAGCTACTACTCCACGATACAAAATAGTGGTAATTATTTCTACGTGGCCTTTCCGCTGTTTTTTCCTAATATTTGAAGTGCAGCTTATGAGTCTGTCCTCATATCCCTTCCATGTACTATATAGTCATATTGTCTTAGCTTTCTACTGATCATTTTTTCGATTGCAGTAAGACCTTGGGGAATCAGCCTTCTACTCATCCCCTGACCTACTCATCTCCTCCCCTAAGAGGAGTAACCTTCCCTCAGGTTACTCCTCCACTGCCCGTCTGAGGGGATGTCATCGCTCGTGCAACAGCGAATACACTGAAAGTTCTCCCGTTACCTTCTCGTTGTACTTCCTGGGCAACACAAACAAACAGAGGCACATCACGTACACACTGTGTACACAGTTCTTAAAAAAGCACTACAATAACACAACTCATATATAAAAAGATCACAGTGACATAGCTGTCAGACAAACAACACTCTTACAACCTGCAAAGCAATATGTGCATACACACACCTGGCAATGACTACTTTGACTGTTGACCAGACCACACACTAGAAAGTGAAGGGACGACGACGTTTCGGTCCGTCCTGGACAATCGACTTGAGAATGGTCCAGGACGGACCGAAACGTCGTCGTCCCTTCACCTTCTAGTGTGTGGTCTGGTCAACATACTTCAGCCACGTAATTGTGACTCAGCGCCTACTTTGACTGCTGGGACTGGTAAAGATACCTGGCCTATGACCCAACGTAACAACAGCAAATACACAAGAAACATTATTGCTAGTAGTTTCACATAAATTATGATAAAGAAATCACATGTCCCGAACTATGCGAAACCTGAAAGTAAAATCACAAGGGTTGTATGGGGCTAAGATGAGGGTACTTTCAGAGACCGAGTTGGGCCATAACGAGGCGGCACAAGGTGTGGGACCAGGACGAAGGGACACAAGGGATGGGACCAGGACGAAGGGACACAAGGGATGGGACCAGGACGAAGGGACACAAGGGATGGGACCAGGACGAAGGGACACAAGGGATGGGACCAGGACGAAGGGACACAAGGGATGGGACCAGGACGAAGGGACACAAGGGATGGGACCAGGACGAAGGGACACAAGGGATGGGACCAGGACGAAGGGACACAAGGGATGGGACCAGGACGAAGGGACACAAGGGATGGGACCAGGACGAAGGGACATATACACAATGTTGGTGGCAGATTATTTAAAAAAAATGTTAGGGACGTTTGGAACTGAACATCGAAGTGAGCCAAAGTCGAAACGCAGGAAAAAAACTTGTTATATTGCATCAGGTAGAAGCCAAAAGCGGACACTGTCGGGTAAGCACAAATAACTACATATAGGTGATAAACAGTATATATTGACAAATGCATTTTTCGTACTTTTACAGGTAGTAAATTCCCGTTTTTTGTTAGTTTTATTAAGTTTCAGTCAATACAGACTAATTCTGTCCACGTTTATCAGCAATATAAATACATATAATGGTAGCGCGTAGAATATTGCTCATCCTCAATATAAATACAAAACAATGATAAAGAATCTCATTCATTAATATAAAGTTATTTAATTAACAACCTCTACTGTTTCTAAATTTAACTGTGTTACATTTAAGCATCTGTTAGAAGCTTTGGATAATGAAATATACTCCCAAGCCCATATTTGACCCCACATAACTAGTCAGTTGAGTTAGCAATGTGTGGAGGAGAGTTGAAATTGAAATTGAAATAAGTTTATTGAGGTAAAATACACACAAAGGGATGAGGTAGCTCAAGCTATTCTCACCCCGTTCAGTACATCGTGTTAATACATACATAGACACACATCACAAACATTAAACATATTACCAAACATTCTGAGGGATAAACATATATACATTTCCTAGGAGGAGAGTTTGTCAAGTGAAGTCGGGGTTGCGGCGGCCATGTTAGTGCGGCGGCCTCGTACAGTTGGCAGTGTTGTCACGGCGGCCGAGGCGAGGTGGCTGCTGCTTCCTTCATCACCAAGTATCATACTCCTCCTACACAACATCTGTGTACTCAAAAATGGTAACTGATGCAGCTCTTGTGTGTACAGTTTGTGGAACAATCTGAAAAATATACCTCCAAATCATTGCAAAGCTTCCTTTTTATTTTTTTATGTAGTTTTGGTGTAACTTGACAGTTGGTCCGTCTGCTAGAGGAGCTTAACATTCTCTTAATGTTAATATAATGCCGTGACTAACGTACCTTGTTGTAGTTGGTAATAATAATGTTGACTGGTTAACCATACTGCACTACTTTAAGATATCTGGTATGTTAATACAGCCGTGCCCCATTGACATATATAGGCTAGGTAGGGGTTCTCTAGCATCCCATACATGTTATGACGTCAATACAAAGATATATATCACAATAATACAGATAGTGCTCACTCGTATCCATGTGTATTGTATGCACTGTCACCGATGTCAAATTCGTCTGGATTGTAATGTACTGTATTGAGTTTGGGTGACATTATTCAACGAGTTTAGTGGCTTTTAATGTTTAATGGTCTTGGTTACAGCAGTCAGCTTTTGGAACTGTAATGACATGTCATGATAGCCGAGACAAGGCATGGGGGCAGAGAGCTTGAGTGAAGCTTGGGGTAGAGTGCCCTAATGCTGGAACGAGAATGCTAGAGTACGACCAAAATCTGGCCGTCTGATCTGGGGCGAGGTTGTAGTGTCTTGTGAGAGTAGGAACTAGGTTTGTCGAGTGTTACACTGTTGCTGGTGAATGTCGATGATGATGATGATGATCTGAAGTATATACAGAGCATTTGTCACTGAGCCACTACTGGAGATGGACTGACTGACTCCATATTTTGACGGCTTGTGTTCCATGCATCTCCTGACGTGCCAAGCTGGCCATCATCTTGCTGCTTACTTTTTGGTAGTCCGGTATTCATGTAACCCTTGGGAAGACGTATCAATTGTTATTAGTGCACAAAGGATTTGTGTAGAACTTCTTAAATATGGAATTCTTACGGATAAGTTATGTGAATTAACAGGTACATCTAATTGCCAGCAATGAAACTTCTGAGAGCTTTTAGCCAACTATATTACACTTAACATAGAGTAATATGTTTAGAGCCTGTACTGTAATCACTTAGAGGCTCACGGTAATGGGGGTGCTATATTAAGTTGGATTAGGGCATGGCTATATCAAAGGAAACGGTATAAATGGGGTTAAGTCAGAGTGGGGAAAATGTTGTAAGTGGAGTGCCTCAAGGCTCTCTCCTGGGACCTTGTTATTCATAATATTTATAAATGATTTAGATTCAGGTTTGAGCAGCAATATTTGCAAATTTGCCGTTGATACAAAAATCGGGAGGAAAATAAACACTTTGTCTCTAATCACTTCAAAATGATCTAAATAGATAGGGTTTTGAAATGGTCAAAAGATTGGCAGATGCAGTTTAATGTTGACAATTGTAAGATTTTGAGGCTATGTAATGATATAGTTACAAGATACGAGCTAGATGGTGTTGAGATTGCGAAAGGGATCTGGAAGTTATGATTAGTAAGAATTTAAAACCAAAAATCAATGCATAAATGTTTGTATGAATATACAAAATAAATATATACAATAAAATAAAATAAAATAAAATACAAAATATACAAAACATAAATGTTTAAATGAATATATGCCTGGTCTGTCTGATTACTTTTACTTGAAATTTGTTATCATATTCAGTGTGCAGAAAGCGGTCTATAGTAGCGCATTTCTCATTTTATTGTAAAGCCAACATATAACATTTTAATGTCATTTTTCAGGTGTCTGTGATCAGTAATGTAGAGACTGGTCATGATGACATGATCCATGATGCTCAGATGGATTACTTTGGTACAAGGCTGGCAACATGTTCCTCGGACAGATCCATCAAGATCTTCGAGGTGAAGGGCACTTCACAAACTTTAATTGCAGATCTCCGGGAACATGAGGGACCAGTAAGTGTTCTAAGCTGGTATGTTTGATTGTGCTTCATCTTAATTAAATAAATTGACTTTAAGATATTATTTGTAGTGTATAGTACTGATTTTATTATAGGAAATGTACCTAAACATTCGATAATACATACATACATACGATAATAATATTCGAAAATTACGATACAGTACTATTAACTTGGTGTCAAGCATGTTACGTATCTTCCTGATGCCTGTGATCTTATGACTGTTTCTTTTAGCATAAAATTAGAGATTATCTTTACTGTTGAAATTGACACACACTTGTTTTGCCTATTTCACATAGTACTGTGCACTACAATAGTTTGTTATGCTGCTTTCAACCTTTATAATATGTAAGTTATTTATCTATTCAGTGTTCAGCAGCACACACACACTTCACTAGGATATTATCACAAGCCTTGTTTGACACATTACCTGTGATGTGTGGAGATGAAGGATGCTTTGAAATTTCCACAAAATTTAGAAGTGCATAAAGATTCAATGCTTCAGTTCCATGAGCCACACAAGGAAACACTAGGTCACCTTATCTTATAAGATGTGCAATTTGTTTTGCACAAGTATCCAAATTTGCAAATATGGAAACTTTTATGTTCAGAAAAAACATTAATTTAAAAGGTAAATTTTTGTTTAGTGCTTGTAAAACTAAGCTAATTAAATCATTATTACTCAATTATTAAATGTTGCAGGTTTGGCAAGTGGCATGGGCTCACCCTATGTATGGCAACATCTTAGCATCATGCAGCTATGATCGTAAAGTTATCATTTGGCAAGAAGATGGCCACAAATGGAAAAAGATACATGAATATGCTAACCATGATTCATCAGGTAATGCCAACTAATTTTTTTTTTAGTCATGCTATAATTGTCATCTCATCTCGTACAGTTAGCCAACACTATCATTGATGTACCAAACATTTTCCATAATTGAAGTGAATTTGTAGAAAATTAACTTTGAATATCATCACTTAGTACTGTAATCTCTTCACTTGTTTGTAACATTCACTGTATTTATCTTTAGACACATGATTTAATAAGAGGTAAAGTAAGGTATCAGTATTAGAAGTGTGTGCTAACCCATTATGACAGCACTTGGAAGAGATGAGAATGAGGATTTGGGATAGGACCGAGGAAGGGAATGGTGCCCAACCATTTAGACTGTTGGGGATTGAATGCTGACATTCAAGAAATTTGTATTTGTGCAGGTCAGCTTGGGAAAAGAAGTGTCACAGAACATTTGAACTTGGAATGATGAAAGAATGTACTGTAATTTAAAAAATGCATGAAACACATTTGTTGGTAGGATCCAAATTTCTAAGGTTGGTTGGCCACCCAACCAACCTTTTAAGTGGTTAAGCCACTTGAAGTTCAAAATTCTTCCAGCTATCAACCTTCTCTAATGCGTGATTAGTGAATTGAGCACTCCAGTTTAGGTGATTTATGGCATTACAGTAAATACTTATCTCGTGTATATTTGCACTTCTTGTATTGATCATTTCTATAGACCTTGTAAACAATGTTTTTAAAGTACCCCTTTATTTTTTTCTCTTCTATAAATTGCCTTGTCACAAACTTAGTCTTCCAACAAAATACTTGCATTCCATTAGTTTACACTTTCTTGGTAAAAATTTTATGAAACCATTTCAGTAACTGCTGCTAATCATATTCCAAAGTGTTTTGTTTGTGTGAAATATCTGTATATCCCTTGTACACTCATTGTTGGCCCACTAGTTTTCTATTGCACAACATTAGGTAGAATTGGTTAAGATTAGGTTACCACTTTTGTGTTACATGTACTGTACAATGTTTGCCCAGGTCAAGAAGTATGTCATTGGGTGCTAGGCTGAGTTTCTAGTGAATCATTAAAAGACAACTGGTTGCAGCTGTGTAACATTATGCATGCAACCTTTTTTTTTTTTTTTTTGTAAATTTCACCACGTTCTTGGTTTTAAGGTGCATGACCTGTCAAGGGTCATGATCTTTATACCAGTAATGTACTCTAGTTCCTGACCGGAAGTATAGTATACAGTGGAGACCCAGTGGGATTGACTCGTAAATACTTCCAGTACCTGCGATGTGTTAAGCAAAGTTTCTCTTGTGGCATTTTATATGCGTCATTTTGCCTTTTATACGTCTACAATATCATGTATCTGTGGTAATAGCTTTTGAACCAATTTAGTGTATCTGAGCTCCATGCATTGTCTTGGAACAGTCACATCTTTTCATGTAAACTGTCTAATATTTATTCTTCATTAAACTCACTTTTGTCATTGATGAGTCCAGTATAAAGTGCAGATGTAATAGTGTTCTGACCTAGATGCTAGTAAATATACTTAAAAAATTATTTTACAGTCAACAGTGTGTGTTGGGCACCTCATGAGCATGGCCTCATTCTGGCCTGTGCATCAGCAGATGGGTCTGTATCTATTTTAACTTCCACTGCACACACATGGGAGTCAAAGAAGATCACCAATGCCCATTCCGTAAGTTAATGTATGGTCAAAATAATTGTTTGGTATCATAAACATTAATTTAGGATAAAAACCCACACGTGTTTGTGAAATTTATTAGAATTACACCGTCTTTTGCATATTCCTGAGTGCTTAGTCAAGGTCTGAGTATGTGGTTAGGATGAGACTTGCATCTCGACAACTAATCAACGACAACAATTAGTCATAAGTCTGGTCCTAACCACATACTCAGACTTTGACAAGAAACTCAGGAGAACGCATAAGAGTTGGTGTAATTCCTCACATAAATTTTACAAATACGAAAGTGTTGGTTTTAATCCTATGTCTGTGAGAGTACATTACTGTACTTATGTAATCATTAATGTTATTACAGTTAACTGTTTCTTGTTCCCAAGTAGTAAATCAGTTGAAAGGGAAATCACTTTAATTGTAGAGGACATTAATTTCCCATTGATGGTTCTATTCTTTGGCTACACTTACATCAGTTGGTGATATGTCACTTTCATTGAATACAAAGAATGGAAGCTACGACTACACCTTGGTCTTCATCAAGGCAACAAATACGTCAACTCGAGATAAATGTTACAATTTTGAGTGAGTTTGCCTTGGTGTTCAACAAAAGTTGTTTACCAAAGTAACAATCATATAAATAGGGAAAAGTATTTATGAAATTCTAGACAACTACTTGAATATAGGACTTGTATGAGCTTTGTAACCAAAGTTTGCTTATTAACTAGTTAAAGCATTGAATGATCAAAAGATTCTAGTGCTTGGGCTACATGCATAAATGTTTTCTTATTGACCCATCCATTTATTTTCCTTCTTTGTTGTGTCCTTTCATTTCACTGTCCTCCATTTTCACTTGCCTTTGCATGAATGTGTACACATCTTCATTCTTGCCATACATTTTTGTCTGTACAAGGAATATCTGAGGATAAAGTAATACTGTTTGAGGCCATTCCTCAAAGTTTAGGGAGAGACTTTCTGCATCCTTTCCACCACATTTGTTAAGAATGTAAATTGGGCGATTAGCATGATAAAACTACTCAACCTGCTTAATATTATTTGTAATTGGAATTTATCCTGTAAGCCTGTACCTTTCAAGGTACCAGTATTAGATGCTGTATATCCTAGTAATTTGAAATTGCATATTGTATCATTCTTCAGTTTTAAATTCATTTGACATAGTGTGTAATCACATGCCAATTTTAATTATTAAATTCAGAGCTTCAAATGATAATGCTTGTTCAATGTACAGTACTTTTAAAATGAAAATGTTTCTTACTCCCAAATCATGTGCCTCATTCTTTTAGATGAAAGGAGATTGATGTCACAACTTTTCATAACACTGTTGTTTCATATTTAGTAATTTATGCATTTGCCTTGTTTGACTTGTATTGACAACACCTTTTTACATTATTACATTTGTAGATTGGGTGTAATGCAGTGAGTTGGGCACCTGCTGTGGCATCTGGTTCTGCTGATGGTTCCAACAGATCAGGAGCTGCAGTCCAACGTATCGTTACTGGCGGATGTGATACCTATGTTAAGATATGGAGATTTGATAGTTCTAGTGGAGAATGGACCGAGGAAAGTAAACTTGAGGGACACTCCGATTGGGTGCGAGATGTGGCCTGGGCACCTTCCATCGGCCTCCCTCGTTCCATCATTGCATCATGCTCCCAGGTGAGGTAGCCACTTGATTTTCCTTTTATTATTGAAAGCATATTTTCCTAGAGTTGGGATGGGTTTCTGCAATAGAATTTCACTTGCTCTACCTTGGCTAAGAGTAAAGTAAGGTAGGAAAGTCTGTCAGAAAATGCTTACTTATGTTATGAAAGTGATGAGCAATTAAATATTACTTAACATAAGTAAATATTGACTAAATTTTGTGAATCATAAGTGATCATGCAATGTAGTCGATCTACATCGACTATCTACATCAGCGATCTGACATCGATCGCTTTTTGCTGCATCCTTGTGCTTTTTTATATTTTCACGTGTTTTTTACTTGTATATACTGTAGTTGCAGGAGACAGGAGCTCATTCATTCTACTTATTTCCTAGTGCAGGCAGATGATACTGGCTTGGCTTAAGATATGTTATGTCTCCATTAAATTCTTTTGATAATGTTTCAGGTGCTACTTTCCAAGTCTTCATAACACCTGACACAGACATTCTTCAAGGGGTAGATAACTGTTAACAGTCCATGCATGCTGACAGTATTTGTGTTGCAGGATCGGCGGGTCATTATCTGGATGAATGATGGAGTGACAGGTGTGTGGCAACCAAGAGAGCTAAACACTTTTGATGATGTCATCTGGCATGTTAGCTGGTCTGTTACTGGAAATATTCTAGCAGTTTCTGGTGGAGATAATAAGGTTAGTACTTAATATGAAAGGTTTCATTTGTATTTAAATTTATTTGTTTTGGATTATCGCTCAAAGCGTGCTTAGCCACTGTGCACAGCACCTGAAGGTGCTTGATGGGTGGTGCAAAAATGTATAAATTTAGCAATACAGTATTTTAATATTTTGTAATTGTTTCACTGATTTGAAATGTAAATTGTTGAATTTGGCAATATTTTAACTGAATTTTTAAAAAGGAGAAAAAATGTCCATGTTAGTAATTTATTAACTGCAATAGTACAAAGTTGTCACATGAAATGCCGTGCAATGTAGGGATTAATATAAATGTTTGGAAATATCAGTGTTGAATTTACTTCTAATATTAGCTGGCCTTGGTCACTAGAAGACAGTATATCTTGTTTATCCTAAATCAGTTTTGGATAAGGTCTGAATTAACAAGAAAACTTTTTTTGTTTTTTCATATTCTGGGTTTAAATAATGGCTAGAATATCCCAAGACATTATATTTATTATGTCTTATTTTAAAGATTTATAGATTTTCAGGTCATGTATATCGGTATTTACTTCACAGATGTTTAAAATATTCATTCAATGACACTGGAGAGGACTTGCCAGTCTCCACCTCCCATGCATCACTATGTACCTTTTAATGCTTCCATGTAATTACTCTTCAATTCAAGACTAATAAGAAGAAACCCTGCATATATTATTAGACCCAAAAATATTGGTTTTATATAATGATTTCAGTGATCGGGAATGCATGCTCCATTTATAGCATTGCACCTATAACGGTTGTTTGGGACCCAGACTTACTTTTTTTTTTTTTTTTTTTTTTTCTTTTTTTAGCTTTAAGGTTTGCCTATATCATGCTATGAAAAATGCTCAACATTCTTATTTTTTTTCTGGCATTTGTCTATAATTTTTTTTTATTTATACAGATAATCTGAATGAGTTCATTTTTTGTTTTCCTATTACAACATTAGGTTAGCCTGTGGAAAGAAAGCTTGGAAGGTCAGTGGGTGTGTTTGAGCGACTCTGCCAAAGGACAACCAGCTTCTGAACAACGTACACTCTAGCAACAACCATAAGCAGCAGTGTCACGTGCAATTTGATACTTACAAAATGCATAGTGACCAATTTTATTTTTAAGAAAGTTATAACTTAATTGAGTCAGGATTTTAATGGTAGATTATTTCTTTGTTGTAATTATCAATAATCTAAAAGTTATGCAGACTAGCAAATCATCTTTACTTTTATGATGCAGTGTATTAAATTTATAATGATTCCATTCAGAATGTCAGGTTAAATTGCAAACATTTTCATTCGGGAGCTGTCCAAAATCTGTATATAGTTAGGTGCAACATTGGATGGTGTAGTTATTTGTGTAATTTATTTTTGAAGACACATTACGAGGAACATACACATTTTTTGACAATGTAAAAACAGCATGAGAGTGTATGAACTTCAGGTCACTGCTGTATTTTGTGGTAAAAGTTACGTGTTAACATTGTGAGAACAGTATGTTGAATATGGTCTGTATATTAAAATAAATATTAATTTTGGAATATCAGCATGTTTATTATAAACCTTACCTATGCAGCAAGTGGAATAATATTTTTTACTTTACAATAGTCATTTTTTCATAAACTGAAAAATGGCATTAATACTGTTTTAACAAGGTTGTGGCATTTTATCAGAGGCATTGAAACTTACATCGCTTTCACTTTGCTAGAATCCCGACCTTATCTTATTCCTTTCTCCCACTCACTACCCCAGCTTAACACTGCAGATCACTGTGATCCTGAATGATCTGCCAGTTAATATTGAGGCTGAAATGTTAAATGAGGGGGGAGCAACAAATGAAGGGTTTATTCATTTAAAAATAAGGAATAAAAACTTATTGTACACTGCCACCGCCTTCCTGCTAAAATACCTGAATGTGTCTAGATTACTGATCTCCCAGGAAGGACAGAAATCGGTAATCATGAACTCTCGGGCAATAGGGACTTCGGTAATAAATCTTGGGAATTAATTATAGCAACGTTGATTTACTTATTGAGAATATAGGATTTCCAATACCGCACATGAATACCACATATAAAAAGGAATAACAGCATTAATAACCAAAATGGGGGAATTGACTAAATACCACTAGATCAAAATATTTACTATATTGAAACAGGCACGTAATTTTATAACAAATGAACACACAGAGGGGGTACCTCGGTTTAAGAGTTTAATCCGTTCCTGGAGACAGCTCGTAAACCAAAGCTAATTTTCCCATAAGAAATAATGGGAAATGAATTAATCCATTCCTGACTACCCAAAAACCTCACTTCAAACTAAATTTTATACCTAATTCATCAAAATCTACACTACAAAACTATGTTCAAATTATTACTTACCATTGCTATTGGCGTATGGAAGATGGTGAGGAGGAGGAGAGGTGTTACTGTTTGGAAGGGAAGTCCCCTTCCATTATAACATCAGGCAGTGAGGACCTCTCTGGGGTGCATTCTCTGGCACGTTTTGCCTGCATACTACTAGGTTGTGGCTCACTGCTCGATGTTCTCACAACAAAGCGGTCCATTGATGATTGTTTTTCCCTTCTTCGCAAGATGTCTCTGTAGTGAGGCATCACATTGTCATTGAAAAGATTAATGCAACGGCTTACTACAGCTTTCTCTGGATGAGTCTTTTTCAATAAAAGTTTGCATCTCTTTCCACATCTGACACCACTTCTTAATGGTTGCGGAAGGGACATTCGCTGCTGCGTCATCCTCCTCCATTGGAGAAACATCCTCAGCTGGGTCTTGTTGCTGTTCCTTTTGAAGGGTTTGGAGTTCTTTGGTAGTCAGTTCTTCGTTGTCTTCTTCCACCAACTCCCCCACATCATCACCATCCAATTCCAAGCCCATTTGCCGGCCCAGAGTAACAATTTCCTCAACAATAGGCGCATCATTTACAGGCTCAAACCCCTCAAAGTCTAGTTCTGTCACACATTCAGGCCACAATTTTCTCCAGCCTGAGATCAGGGTTCTTTGAGTCACTTCCTGCCAGGCGTTGTCAACGAGTTTTAAAAAACTACAAATGTTAAAATGGTGTTTCCAGAACTCTTTAAGGGTGAGGTTCGTGGCTTCAGTCACTTCAAGACATTTCTGGAAAAGTGCCCTTTCATAAAGTTTTTTAAAATTCGCTATGATTTTCTGGTCCATAGGCTGAATTAGAGGAGTGGTGTTAGGAGGAAGGAACTTTACTGTGAGAAAATTAGTGTGTCTGTGCAACAGTTCATCTTCCAAGCCTGGAGGATGAGCAGGAGCATTGTGGAGAAGCAAGGCCTTGAGTGGCAAATGTTTCTCCTGCACATATTTTTCTATGGCAGGGCACACCACTTCATTCACCCACTCCGAAAAAAAAATCAAAGTCACCCATGCCTTATTATTAGCCCTCCACATCACACACACTTGATTATTCTGCACTTTATACTTTTTGAAAACCCTTGGATTTTCAGAATGATGTAACAGTGCAAGTATTTTGCACTCTTTCATGTATAATTGTGAGTTGTAATTGTGGGTGTGGGTGTATGCGTGTGTGCGTGTGGTGTGGAGGGAGATGGTACGAGGGACTTGTTGACTAGCTTCAATCTGCTGACTTGGTAGTACTTAGGTTGGTAAGGGCTAGCTTGGCCTGTCCCAGTCCTTATTTGGGCATGAGGAAGAGTAAGTACACAGCTTCCTCACGTTGGGGGTGGCTGGTAGATTCAGTGGGCGATCGCCTTGCACAGAGAGAAGGTGACCAGCCAGTCGAGGGGAGGAGGAGAGAAGAGAGGGGACAGACATGGATAAGGTTGAGGGGAAACTCGTCCGTCTGGCAACAGAAAACGAGAGGCGCACGGGAAGAGTGGAGGTAGGAGGAATACTGTAAATAAAATAAAATAAATTGTAACCTTCCCATGTAACCTTCCCTACCCCTAAATGTCAACCAATGTCTTACTATTTCTGTCCGGGGAGAAAAACTCACGCCTAATGAAGGGGATACTTATTTATTAATTAATATATTTAATACATATATATGTAAGATTTTATAACTAAAGAAATGCATTAAGAAAATATAATTAAGTATAATAAATGAACTTAGTTGTAAAATTCCATTCATAAATATGTATTATAACGTAACTGAATAAGTTGGTACCTACCAGCGACTATAGCTGCAATTAAAATTCTTACATTAGTAATGAAGAAGTATATAATTAAGGTAATCACTATGTTAAGCAATTATTGCAGTCCATAGTATGAAAGAGTATAGGTTTACATTTACATTGCGGACGGTGTCGAGTGCACGAGGGCCTTGTTGGGCCACTCGCTTATGCTTACTTTTGATGTGTTCCAACATATTAAGGAATTGTTGGTGGCTGTCTGGGGACCGACAGGTGAATTCATTGTTGTTGACTTCTGATGGTGTACTGGAGGGAGTATTTGCAATCTTCCATTTATATGTTATATGGCATACTTCATGTCGTTTTGCCATGCCTGTCAACGAGGCTTAGTTACTCAATGTTCTTAAGCTGTTGTTAATGAAGTTTTCGAAATCGGCAGTAGTGAATTATCAGTTGAAATCGCCCTTGTAAAAGATATTTAAGACTCTGCTTGAATATAAAACGTTTTCTTTAGTATGGATATTGGTTTTCTCTCGTATTACTGATTCACACATAAAAACAAAACTTGAATAAATAATGGTGTTGAAAGGTAGCATTACATATATATGTTTCCTTGTGCAGAGACGCGACAGCAGCCAGAACAGAAGACACGGTGATAGAACACTTGCTTCTACGCTTCCTTATCTTTATGGAATTTTTACGACTCGGTTTTATCAGACTGTTTGTAAAGTTAGCCTATCTGTTGAAAAATTATGTATGACAGAAAATAATAGTTTTTAGTATGTTAATAATGGTTATATGATTTAGATATATATATGTGAGAGTAGTAGATTAATTTTATGTAATACAAAAATAATGACGTATCATTTTGTAATCATATATAGTGTCTTATAACTGTTTAAAGCACGTATCAAGTTTCGTAGGTGACTATGTAACTTTCCCACCATTAAAGATGCAGATATAAACAATCATTTACTCATATAATGTATTTAAAATTGGCGCGATATGTTTTTTATTTTTTTATACATCTGACTATTCCGTTTGGTCTGGCAGTCTGCCAAGTGCGTGACGTCACACAACAAACCGCGCAGAAAACTAGTTCTTCCATATATATCGTCTACAAATAATTACATTCTTCATATATATGACTTTTTTATACATAATCATATGGGTAATCAAATTATTTGAAGAACTTTTGTATTTCTCTTTGAAAAATTGATAAACATATTAGCAATATTTATTTTGACATTTACGTATATTTCATGTTATATTATGAGTATTTTTAGCTTCCTAATTGTATGTAGGTAATATCTTAATAATCCTTTTGCTAAACGTATATCACAGTACAATTATAATAGCATATATATTGCCTATTACCATGCAGTAACATATGCGATGATAACTTAGACAAACAGACGGATCTCATCAAAACCTCGAGTACCGGCGTATGAGCTCATAATCCTCATAAACAACAAGAGCCAGCAAAAGGGTGTAGAAGCACCTAGGGAGCAAGAAATAGATGAATATAGAGAGTTAATTCACGGGGAGGAGGAGTTGGTACTCCTGCGCGCGGAGCAATATTCCGTGAGCCTCGAAGCAACTAGTAAGAATGGCCGACAAACATTGATGAATATCTAGGGTACTTTGAGCAAACCTGAATGTAACTCGCTTGATTGATAACATACCAGCCGATTACTTGAAATACGAGTGGTTTTGAGGACTAGTGGTTAGCTGCGTGTGAGTGCTTCAGTGGCCCTAAGCATGTGAGTGGTGATTAGTTGAGTGTGAAGGTCTGTGCCACTTTCATCACTTGCTGCTGCAAAACACCAAATGTCAGTGTACAGGTGAATTGTTGGATTGTGTATGGTGATGGGCCGCCGGCGTGCGGTGAGGGCACGGGTGTGGTGAGCCACCAGCTGGCAGCTGCAGAAAGGTGTGGAGAGGTCGCCTGGGCCCACACGTCATGTACAACAGTCACAGGTGAGCCCCACACACCTCACACTTCAAGTACCAGCCTTCATCACTGTGTCAACCTCTCCACCCTCACCTCACACTCAGGTCACCCTTCAAGTACCAGCTTCATCACTGTGTCAACCTCTCCACCCTCACCTCACACTCAGGTCACCCTTCAAGCACCAGCCTTCATCACTGTGTCAACCTCTCCACCCTCACCTCACACTCAGGTCACCCTTCAAGCACCAGCCTTCATCACTGTGTCAACCTCTCCACCTTCACCTCACACTCATACTCTCTACAAAACCTTTCCACCATAATAATCTCGCCTTCACCCACAACCAAGTGGTTCTCTTGTGTAGCTCCCACCTGCATTGCTGAGTCAATATTTGCAATGTGTGTTTACATGTTAATTACCTCTTTGTTATTGATGGTGATTAGTTGAGGGTTAATGATTG